ATACCTCAACATCAAAAAGGCCATGTAGGCAAGTGTTGTGATGAACCTTGGGTGTTATACATAACTAATGAATCATTGAACATTACATCAAAAGCTAATGATGTACTATACAGTAGTTAACTGAACATAATAACTCCTCCAAACCCAAAAAGGTCATGTAGGATACACCCACAGCTAATATCATCTGCACTGGGGAAAAAACTGAATTTTTCCCCTAAGGTCAGGAACATGACAGGGATGTCCACTGTCATCACTGTTGTTCAAGATAGTACTGGAAGTCCTAGCCTCAGCAATGAGACAACAAAAAGAAAAGGCATTAAGATCAGCAAGGAATATGTCAAAATACCACTCTCACAAATGGCCAACAGAAACACGAAACAATGTTCAATATCCCTCATCATCAGGGAAATACAAATCAAAACCACAATCAGATACCACCTCACACTTGTCAGAGTGGCTAAAAGTAACAGCCCATGAAAAAAGAGGTGTTGGTAAGGTGTTGGTGAGGATGTGGGGAAAGGGAAACTCTCTAAGTTCAATGGTAGGAGTGCAAGTTGCTGCAGCCACTCTGGAAAACAATATGGAGATTCCTCAAAAAGTTCAAAATAGAACTATCCTCTGTATATTTAAGGTATTTTAAAAACATTTTTTAATAAACATATAATGTATTTTTAGCCCCAGGGGTACAGGTCTGTGAATTGTCAGATTTACACATTTCACAGCACTCAGCATATCACATACCCTCCCCAATGTTAAGGTGTTATTTTTTATAACAAAGAAGGATTAAGGTAGCAGATTGAACAGGGTTGCTAATCAGCTTCCATTAAGTTGAAAAGATTAGCTGTGGTTGTCCAGGTGGGACTAAGGTAATCATAATGGTCCTCCAAATGTTGATGAAGGAGACAAAAGAGTTGGTGTCAGAGAGATTTTGAAAATGCTGCCCTGCTGGCTCTGAAAGTGGAGGAAGAGCCATGAGCTAAGAATGCAGGCAGCCAAAAATTGAGACTAGAATTGGAAAGAAAACAGATTCTCCCATGAGCATGTGGAAGGAACTCAACCCTACAGACATGTACTATTAGCTCAATAAGACTCCTTTCAAGCTTCTGCTTCCAGAACTATAAGAGCACACATGTGTTTGTTTTAAGCAACTAGTGTGGGGATATTTTACAGCAGCTGGAGGAAACTCATGGACATAGTCAATAAAATTATTTGAGAATATATTTAATCTTTCCAATTCATTCGTAATTTCTCTTGGATGAGGACAATTTACATTTAAAGGATCCACATTAATTGGAAAAAAAATTAACTCTATTTGGAGGCATTCTGCCCTATCAGCTGGTACGTGAATTCCTCATGGCATAAATGTGCTTGTGGTCTGATTCTGAGGCCTTCGAGGTGGTGACATAGGGAAGGAACTCAGGATAAAAATTAAGGTCACTCATTCACTCATTGTAGTTTATGATTTTGTGTCTATATATCTGCATCCTTTTATTTCATGTTGATTCAACTATTCATTCCTTTCAGTGCTGTCCTCTCCAACTCTCCCTCAAGTTCCCTTCCAACATGAAAGATGAAATAATAAATTGTCTGTGGTGTACACTTGTGGGGAGTGGGCTTATTTGAAAGGAAATTATGTACACACACACACACTTTACAACCACTATACTGGAATGTTTTCTTAGGATTAAAAAATGAATTTTCATACCATTCATTACTTTCCTACAAGGTTCATTTAATGTTGTATTTAGTATTCCACACCACCTTTAGAAATAAGGAAAGAGGTTCAGGGAGTTTAAAATTTTAACAATTACTTAATAATTACTTAACTTAGGTAAGCAGTCAAAGCTTACCTAACAGTCTTACTGTATGCAAATGGAAACTTGCTCTCTGTATTCTTCATTTTCATGTAGCTCCTTTAATTCATCAAATTCTATACTTTAAATATGCAGTTTATTGTATGTCATTATACTCCAATAATTAAATTAAGTGGAAAATATCTATGGCTCACAGATAAGGGTAGGCTCTAGAGCACAGGTAGCTGATTCTCCATTGAAGGTTTGGGAGAGAGCTCTTCTAATAGAGAAGGAAAACAAGTGTTTTCTTTAAATGTAGGAATGGTGGGATGAAATTCAAACAATTGACATAAGTTCCTTTAATTTCTAAATAGAGAATACCTTACATATAGAAATGAACTAATAAGGCCATAAATTGGCTGAGAGAGAAGAGCATTACTGCCACATACAACACCATCGATGGACCTTAGAAACACAATTTAGGGATTTCTTCCTGACGATAGACACATGAGGAACCCAGCAGAGATCAGAAATGCTTCCCAGAATATAATGCCATTTGATTATAAAGGTATTATTGATGAGGAGAAGAAAGGCAAGAGAAATGTAGGTAAAAATCAACCTCCTTACAATCTGCAGCCCCTGATGAATTCCTCAGACATTTACAGAGTGACACCACACCAGGAACTCATGGTTGACTTAATGTTGTTTCATTAGAGACTAACAGCAATCTTATATTGACAGTAGCCAGACCTCTAAGGTCTTATAAACCTCACGTTCAGCATACAGAAATTCTTTAGAAACTTACATTATCCCTACTCCCTGCCTCCTTCCACAAACTCAAATATAGAATCAGTCACTTTTCACAATCCCAGTGCAGCTTTTCCTGCCCCCAGGTCTGTCCCCATACTATAATTAAAACATCTCTTTGCAGCAAAACTGTCTCAAGAATTCTTTCTTGACCATTGCCTTTGGCCAACCCACATCCATATATGATATCCCATTTGACAAGGACAGCCTGTTATACAGCAAGAGACGACTGACACAATGATCTAAGCAAAGAGACATGAGGCAGTTAGAACACGTGCTGCTTTTATTTGTGGCACCTAATCTGACAGATGAGGGGACCAGTCATGATATTTCTGTTATTCAAGTTTATTTCTGATGACTTTATGACCAGGTGACTATATATGGGCTTCCTTCTAGGTTACTGGGAGAGTTTGAAGGACATGCACATTTCTGCAGAAGAACTGGTGACTCTGAACCACCCGACAGGCAGGCCATCCAGTTCTCCCATTGAGTGTCCTCTGATCATGCAGGTGGAAGAGATTTCTGACCAGGAAGAGGTACAAAATGGGTGATGATCATACTGTTCATTGCCATCCCTTAACATTTGTGACAAAATTAGGAAAAGGGGGTTATTTTGTGTAACAATAGAGAGAGTAATATTAGCAGGTAAGATTGGATGTTTTCTAGTAGAAATAGGAAGTTAATGGATGATAAAACATAGAAAAATTTAACCAATCCTTCACCTCAATGAATAAACCTCCTCCATTGTGGACATCAGTCTTCCGTGCTTCAATAAATAGAAGCACAGCATGAACCGTGATGTAAAGAAAAAAAAACGAAAGAAATATTTTATGTTGTAACAAAACGAGTGTTTTGAAATTTTGCTTCATCATACTTATGGTCATCCTGACACTAAGAACTTATAAAGTCAATCTTTTTATTCAAATTTGTCTTTCCATATAGACTGCACTAGGAGAGATATTCTTGCTAAAGAGTGTTTGCCAATGTCTGTGGTAGGAATTCTGGATACTGATTTGAATCACAGTACATATAAAATAAGATGAAAATTGAGAGGGAGGCAAACCACAGAGATGCTGAACTCTAGGAAACAAACTGAGGGTTGCTGGAGGGCTGGTGGGTGGGGGGATGGAGTAACTGGGTGATGGGCATTAAGGAGGGCACATGATGGGATGAGCAAGGTGTTATATGCAACTGATGAATCAGTAAATTCTACCACTGAAACGGAGGGAGGGAGGGAGAGAGAGAGAGAGAGAGAGAACGAACCCAGGAGCATGTTTGTAAAGTGTCTGAAATTAAGTTTTTTATTTCTGAGACATGCAATCAAGGACAACCATGTTGAGTAAATATTTTGTCAATTGTGGGACACTATTACCAGATAAACCCTCAGAGTGCCCCCAGCTGTGAAGTACCTCTTCATAAAGCCCAGGGTAACCTTGACACTGACACATGAGGGACTCTGCTTTTCCCCTCCAGCACCTAAATTCTAATCATATGAGATTCCCCAATAAAGCATGAACTCACAAACCCCTAAATACTCTAGAGATGGACCCTAATAAAGACAAATCTTTCAGTGATGCTCCCTCTTCCTCCCTCTCAATATCTGTCTCCACCTCTAAGACTTTCCAGAGTGGCTTTTGGGCATCCTATGTGCCCTCCAGGACCTGTGAGGAATGAAACTTGGGTTTTTAGAGTTCTTTGATGGGTGTTGTTGAGGTGTGTCTTGCAATCACAATGAGAACCCAAGGGCAGGTGCAGCCACAGCAGAAGCTCAGGTCAGAGAAGCATCTGCGGGAATGTCCACAAGGACATGGGTGCAGGGGAATGACCGGGCTTTCCTAGCCTGAGCCACACTGTCAGTAACATGAGACATAAAAGGAACAGTGTTAGAGAGTCCACATTATCAGGAAGGTGATAAAGGTAGTGATGTGAAGAGTGACAGACTCTAGGTGAAATCTGGGGTTTGGTATTCTCCTCTATAATAAAGTTATATGAAAGTCTTACTGGCTAAAGTAGTATTATCCATATGGAGAATACAACTTATGACTATTCTTTTGGGAAATTTAGGGAAAATTTACTTGGCATTATATAAGTCATTTGAAATGAAATTAGTTTGAAGAAATCCAACTTGCCCCTTGTAAGAAAATTCCAGTCATTTGTGATCCACGGTTTGGGAAACCATTAAGAATACATGAAGATGGATAAAGGGGTATCTGTCTATATATCAGATAGAGTAGAAGTTTAATAAAGTAGTTACTTAAATGTGTGGAAAAGTTGAATTCAAACAAATGGAAATTGCAGGAATTAAATGGAAGGAGCAGATTCTACTTCCACAGTCTGATCAAAGAATGTCAGTTCCTGACTCTGAGGCTGTGAACCTTGCAATCATGGGCACTTCTTCAACTACAGGGGCATTGGCCCATAAATCACTGTAATCCCAACAATTCTTTTCAGAGTGCTCTTTATGTCTCTGTTCCTCAGGCTGTAGATGAAGGGGTTGAGCATGGGTGTGACCACCATGTACATCACCGAGGCTACTGCACTTGAGTGGGAGTGCTGGGGAGAAGCAGAGCTAAGGTACACTCCTAAGCCTGTACAATAAAATAAGGAGACAACTGAAAGGTGAGATGCACAGGAGGAAAATGCTTTATACTTGCCTTGAATTGATGATATATGACATATGGAGGAAATAATCTTAGAATAAGAGTAAAGGATCCAAGGTAGGGGAGCAACACCCAGCAGCACAGTTGCAAAATACATCACCATGTCATTAAGAAACTTGTCAGGATAGGCTTGCCCAACTACCTTACTGAGTTCACAGAAAAAATGGGGGATTTCCATGCCTGTACAGAAGGACAACCGCAATGCCATTAAGCTCTGTAACAAGGAATTCTGAACACTGATGATCCAGTACACCAGAACCAGCAGTCCACAGAGCCGGGGTTTCATGATGACTGTGTAGTGCAGAGGGTGACAGATGGCCACGAAGCGGTCATAGGCCATCACAGTCAGGAGAAAATCATCCCAGCCTGCAAAGAGTAGGACAAAGTATATCTGTGTAATGCAGCCTGCATATGTTATGACTTTGCTATTATTCTGAATGTTCTGCAGCATCTTGGGGATAGTGGTGGAGGTGAAACAGATGTCTACAAAAGACAGATTCACAAGGAAGAAGTACACGGGGGTGTGGAGATGGGAGTCTGTGGTGACAGCCAGGATGATGAGCAGGTTTCCACACACAGTGATCAGGTACATAGAGAGGAAAAGCCCAAATATGAGGGGCTGTAGGTCTGGTTCCTCTGATAATCCCAGAAGAAGAGAATATGAAATTCCGGTATCATTGCTTGGTTCCATGTGGTGGTGGTGACTACAAGGAAAGAAAAGAAAATGAAATAATAATTTTTAAGCAAATGAGCTTCATTTATGTATTTATTATCCTTCATTTTTTATTTTTAAAGGTTTTATTTAAGTTCTAGTTAGTTAACTGACAGTGTAATATTCATTTTATGTGTATAATATGGTGACTCAACACTCCACACAACAAACGGTGATCATTACATGTCCCCCCCCCTTAATCCCCGTCACTTATTTCTTCCATTTCCCCCACCACATCCCTTATGGTAAACATCAGTGTGTTCTATGAAGTTAAGAGTCTGTTTCTTGGTTTCTCTCTCTCTCTCTCTCTCTCTCTTTTTTCTTTTTCCATTTTGCTCATTTGTTTTGTTTCTTAAATTCCACATATGAGTGAAATCATATGGTATCTGTCTTTCTCTGACTGACTTATTTCACTTACCATAATACTCTCTAGCTCCATCATGTCATTGCAAATAGCAAGATTTCATTGTGAGGGGGCAAGGTGGTGGAGGAGTAAGGGACTCCATTTCAACTGTCCCTTGAATTTAGCTGGATATCTACAAAACTATTCTGGACACCCACAAAATCAGCCTGAGATGTAAGAAGATATATATCTGGATCTCTACAAGCAGAAAAACTCCACTGATTACGAGCTATGAAGGATGATGTAGTGATTCTGTGGGTAGATATTGGAAGATAAAGAGAAGGAGGAGGGAGCCGCCATAAGCTGGCTTCTGGAAAGTGGTATTACACCAGAGTGCAAAAGCATCCTGTGCCAGGGATAGTGATAGCTTATAGAGCAGTATCAGCCCACCAGGAAGGACCTGAAAACAGTGCTCAAACAAGATCCAGAAGCTGAGGGGGCATGTGGGCAGACCGAGGGCCAGCCACTGGCATGGACCCGGACCTGGGACTGCTCATGGTTTTAGAAGCACAAAGGGCAGAGACAAGCAGGGGCCTGAGTTGACTGCTGAGAGGGTTGCTAGGGGTGTGAACTGCCCATGGGAAGTTGAGTTTTCATCAGCTCCACAAAAATAGAGGGTGTGTATTCTGGAGGGTTCAGAAAAGAACAGAAAAGAACTGTAATTCTGTAATTTCTCTGCCCTGGGGCAGAGGTCTGCTTGCAGACATTTTCCTTTGCTCTGACATTCAGAAAAGCCTGGAAAGCTGCCAGAAAACAAAAGCCCAAAAATCCAGTTTCCATGGAGCCCCGCCCACTGATGGGGGCAGGACAAATCCACCCAAGTAGGGTGGCCTAAAAAAGTGTGGCCAGTTCCTCCCCCAGAAAACAAGCTGGAAGAACAAGAGGATGACAACCCTAGGCTCCCTATAAAACTGTAAAATCTGCAAATCAGGGGAAAATAGTATATTGAGCTCTAGGTGCTGCTTCAGGGCTTGTGTATTTTTCAGATACAACTTTCTTTTTCTTTTTTTCTCATGTTTCTTTTCTGTTTTTTCTTTTTACCTTTTTCTCAACTAGATGTTGAGAAATCTAATGTAATAGATTTCATAGTAGCTTTTTAACTTGTACTTTTTCACACCTTTTAAAAAATATATAGATATAAGATGCAATGTAGTCCTTTTTTTGTGTTCAATATTACCTTTTATATATACCAGTTATATTTTTCCTGTAACTCTGGGAAATAGTGTCCTCTAAAAAAGAGAACAAAATACACCCAGGAAGAACTGAAACACCCTACCTTGCCCACATTGAGAGATTATAGCCCCCACTCCCCACACTCTCCCCTTAAAATTTTTTTTTAAATCTTTAAGTTTAAAAAAATTTTAAATTTTACAAATTTTACTCTTGGGTTTTATTTTGGCTTTGTTTTCCTGGTGGTGACTTCAGACCACTCTGGATTTTCCCAGGGTGCATCTTGCCTGGATTATGGTTGATATTTTGGACTCTGTACATCTCCTCAACCACCCTTCAACAGAATGACTAGGAGGAGGAACTTCCATCAAAGAAAAGAACCAGAGACAATGGCCTCTCCCACAGACCTAATGGATGTGGATATAAGCAAGATAGTTATACTCAAATAGTGAATCATGGAGCACTACATCAAAAACTAATGATGTATTGTATGGTACTAACATAACATAATTAAAAATTATGTTAAAAAAAGATGTCAGAGAAACACTTCAGGGTAGAAATTATGAAGTCAATAGCTAGGCTTCAGAAAACCATTAGCGGCAATATGGAGTCTCTAAGGACAGAAATGAGACTGAATCTTGTCAAGCTTAAAAATACTATGAATGAGATACAGACTAAACTGAATACTCTAGCAGGTAGGGTAAATGAGGCAGAAGCATGAATTAATGATTTAGAAGATAAGCTGATACAAAGAAAGGAACAAGAGGAGGCCAGGAGGTGTGGGACAAAACAAACATCCATGAGAACAGACGTAGAGAGATTAATGATGCCATGAAATGCTCCTATCTCAGAATTATTGGGATCCCTGAGGGGGTGGAGAGAGAGAGAGAGAGAGAGAGAGTGAGAGTTCTAGAAGATATGCTGTAATCACACCTGAGAACTTCCTTAATCTGGGGAAGGGAAAAAACATTCTGTCCAAATAACAGAGAGGACCCCTCCCAAAATCAATAATAAAAATAGATTGACACCCCACCATATAATAGTGAAGCTTGCAAATCTTAGAGCCAAGGAAGCTATTCTGAGAGCAGCTAGGGGGAAGAGATTTTTTTTCCATTTTTAAAAAAATTTCTTTTCAGCATAACAGTATTCATTGTTTTTGCACCACACCCAGTGCTCCATGCAATACGTGCCCTCCCCAATACCCACCACCTGTTTCCCCCAACCTCCCACCCCCCCACCTCTTCAAACCCTTCAGATTGTTTTTCAGAGTCCGTAGTCTCTCATGGCTTACCTCCCCTTCCAATTTCCCTCAGCTCCCTTCTCTTCTCCATCTCTAGGGGGAAGAGATTTATTACATATGGATGGAGGAGCATCAGAGTAACTTCAGACCTGTCCACAAAAACCTGGCAAGCCAGAAAGGGCTGGCAAGACATATTCAGGGTACTGAATGAGAGGACCATGAAGCCAAGAATACTTTATCCAGCAAAGGTGTCATTAAGAATAGAGAGACAAAGAGCTTCCAGGACTGGCAGAAACTGAAAAGAATATGTGACCACCAAGCCCAGCAAGAAAAATTAAGGAGGATTCTATAAAAGGAGAAAGACCCCAAGAGTGATATAGAACGAAGATTTACAGAGACAAACTATAGAAACAGGAACTCTATAGACAATATTATGGCACTAGATGCGTATCTTTCAGTAGCCACTCTCAGTGTGAATGGCTTAAATGCTCCCATGAAATGGCACACAGTTGCAGACTGTATACAAATATAGGACCCATGTGCATGCTGTCTACAAGATACTCACTTTGAACCTAAAGACACCTCCTGATTGAAAGTGAGGGGATGATGAACCATTTTTCATGCTAACGGATATCAAAGGAAGGTGCGGTAGCAATTATTATATCAGACAAAATAGATTCTAATCTAAAGACTGTAGTAAGAGATGTGGAGGGACAGTATATCATACTTAAAGGGTCTATCCAACAAGAAGATCTAGCAATTGTAAATATCTATGCCCCAACACAGGATCAGCCAACTACATTAGCCAATTGTAACTGTAACCAAAATAATAAACCATATGGATAGTAATACATTAAGAGTAGGACATCTTAACACTCCATTCTCAGCAATGGACAGATCATCTAAGTAGAAGATCAACAAGGAAACAAGAGCTTTGAATAACACATTGGACCAGATGGCCTTCATAGATAGATATACAGAATTATCTACCCTAAAACAACAGCATTTCCACTCTTTATGAGTGTACACAGAACTTTCTCCAGAATAGACCACATACTGGGTCACAAATCAGGTCTTAGCCAATACCAAAAGACTGAAATTATTCCTGCATATTATCTGACCACAATTCTTTGAAACTGGAACTCAATCAGAAGAAAATACTGGAAGGAATTCAAACACTTGGAAGTTAAAGAGCCTCCCACTAAAGATTGATTGAGTCAACCAGGAAATTAAAGAAGAACTTAAGCAATTCATGGAAAGTAATGAAAAGGAAAAAAACATCAGTCCAAAACCTTTGGGATACTGCAAAGGCGGTCCTAAGAGGGAAACACATAGCCTTCCAAGCCTCTCCCAAAAAAGAAAAATCCCAAAGGCACAAGCTAACCTTACCCCTAAAGGACCTGGAGAAAGAATAGCAAATAAACCCTAAACCAAGCAGGAGAAGAGAAATAATAAAATCACAGCAGATATCAATGAAATAGAAACCAGAAAAGCAGTAAAACAGATCAGTGAAACTAGAAGCTGGTTCTTTGAAAGAATTAATAAGATCGATGAACTATTGGCCAGAGTTATCCAAAAGAAAAGAGAAAGGACCCAAAATAATAAAATCATGAATGAAAGGAGATAGATCATGACTGACCCCAAGGAAATAGAAAAAATTATTAGAAGTTATTACCAGCCTCTTTGTTTTGTTGACTTTCCTTTGCTATGCAGAACCTTTTGATCTTGATGAAGTCCCAAAAGTTCATTTTTGCTTTTGTTTCCTTTTCCTTTGGAGACTTATCTTGAAAGAAGTTGCTGAGGCAACCCAAGGAATGGGAGATGATATTCGCAAATGACAGTACAGACAAAGGGCTGATATCCAAAATCTATAAAGAACTCCTCAAAATCAACACACACAAAACAGATAATGACGTCAAAAAATGGGTAGAAGACACGAACAACTTCTCCAAAGAAGACATACAAATGGTTAACAGACACATGAAAAAATGTTCATCATCACTAGCCATCAGGGAAATTAAAATCAAAACCACATTAAGATACCACCTTACACCAGTTAGAATGGCC